TTAAATTGAAATGCTGTCAGCCGCAAGATTATCGATTATGAAATCTGCTTTTATTCGCTGCGTCTTTTGGATGATAACGTGATACACGTCATCCCAGCGAGTGTAATCACGATGGCAGAATCGAATATAATTGGAGCTTAAGGAAACTCTACGGGATGGAATCGTCGGCATGTATAGAGTTGATTGGCGATAAGCAACGTGAAACGTCAGCATACGCGTCACTGTGTCATGTCATCAGGAAATGATCCCCTATGGATCGTCTTTATCATGGGACGAGTTTACCATATCATTGTGATTAAGTCGTGCAAAAGTCGGGATCGATTAGTTACGCAAACGAACTGTTGTTACGCGGAGGATCGTCTGCATCGCACCGCAGAATAAAAATGCTAATTTCCCGAATGACGAGATTTGTCGATCGCGTCCGTATGTATTGTTTCGGACAAGCGCGTTACACGCAATGAATTATTCATGACGAAATAGGTTCGGGGGTACCAAGCTTAATGCCGTTAGATTCTACCGCGGATAACGGACTTCATTTCATGATCGAGGGGACTGCAAGACCGCGTACTTTAAGAATGTGCGTGAATGTATTAGTCCGACGTTAGCGTAAAGAGACTGAAACTTTTATGAAATGAAAAGGAAATTATTCGATTCGCATTTCGGCTTGCTTGTTGGTTGTAACGCGATTTCGCAGTTAAAGTGCGGTGCATACTAAATAAATGACAAATAAAATTATAGTAAATAGAAACGAGAATTTCCTAAAAGTATCTGATATTTTATAAGTACAACATTTTTAAAGCTTTAAGAATAAGAAGTTTTTAAAACTGTATGTAAATATCATTATTTGTTAAGAATGATACAAGAAAAAAATTGTAATTAAAATTTTTAAACTTGTTGCTCCGAATATGCAGTTTATTAGACGCGCAAACTGCGAAAACTGCGTTTGTAGAGGATCAGTGAAAGGCAATAAATTGAATAAAAAAATTTATATACAACTACATAGTTCTAAAGTTTTCATTCTCAAACGCTTCTCGGGCAAGTTGCGGGAAGCTCGATCGCGAAAATGAAGTTTACTCGTTTCATAAAAACTTTTTTCTGCGTGGAAAAATTCTGACGAGATAAATCGCCGTGTCACAGCTTCGTGTTATTTCTCATTTGCTTGCTTAGTTTACTACAAGAGACATCATGAAAAGACAGCGTGAAAGAGTTGAAGACTTGCACTCAACTTGGCATTGATGCAGATGTTAAACAGTACTTTATTACGAGAATTATATTACAAATTCTCTTTTTTCCTCTTTTTTTCTCTCTTTTTCTGCCATAGAAATTGAAGATGGAAGTTGAAAAAAAAGAGGATAAGATAGTATGTACGTCTTATAAGTCTTGTGGATGTTTCAGCGAAAATTAAAATGCAGTTTATGCCTCTAGTTGCAGTTGTACTTTTTGCGTATATTTTGCTCTGATATTCCGTCAACGAGGAATATTTACTCATTTTCCTGCTTTTACCATAGCAACTGTGCATTTCACTTTGGAGCAAATAGAAAATTTTTACACAAGTAACGAATTGTATTAATTAGATTAGATATATTAAACTTTATTATTGAGAAGCAGAATATTTTTCAAAAATGTATAATTACATTATATTTAATAATTAATTGTCTTTATTATTTTTACGCAATTTGTGTATTCTATGCGCTAGACGAATAACGTTAGACGAACTTGATTATTTAAATACGACACTAAAATTCTCTAATTTTATAAATATTTTTTAATTTATTATTTACTGAGATAAAATTAATTCTATATATGCATTTGAGAGAGAGAGAGGGGGGGGGTCAAACTGTTTTACAAAAACTGCTTTTCCAAGAAAACAGAAGAATCTACAGTCAATAAACATGAATATATCATGCATAGCAGCCGATAAAATGGCTACAAGTAGATAAGGTATCAGTGCTCGGTACTTTTACTCAGTCGATAACACAAAGGTATCGACTGTTATGGAATGTTCGAAAATAGGGAATACCTACTCGAGGTATTTCATTAGGTCATCCATGGAGTATATGTGTTGAGAACCGATAATTTTTAGCATCGATCCGATCAGAGGGCACGAAAAGTGCTTTCTTTTGCTATCTCCTAGGAATGATCCGCATATATAGTCATTTAGACTTCTTACGGATCCGAACATAATACATTGCGAACACTTATATGTTTTTGTGTATTATATTATACACTTATATAATACGCGATTTTATGAATGAAAGTACGATTATTTGAGGAAAATTGAAGATCAAAATGCAATTTAAATTAGTGCTCATGAAACATCAGACGATTTGACAGTTCGGACAGTTCGAATCTTAAGTTCGAACGTTAAATAGTTCGGACTGAATGTATGTTCGAACTATTTTAACCAATTTCAGAGCTGAAAGTTCGAAATTATTACATTTCGAACTCAGACATCACAAGTCGTCCTCAGGATCATCCTGAATATGTTCAGAATGGCTCAGGATATTTGTAGGACGATATCAATAAATATAGGAATTTTATTTAACTGCTCTTTTGTTTCCAAGGTATACTATATTTGTTTACTGTCCGAACCGTCCGAACTTCAGACATAAGGAATTGACATTTGTCAGACATAAGGAATTGTCCGAAATATTTGAATTAGATGCTCATTTTTTTAAACTTCGAATAGATCGAATATTCAACATGTTCGAATCTTTCGTCTAAGCCCTAATTTAAATTAAGAATAATAAGAAGAACAGGAATAATAATAGTAAAAAACAGAATATGTATTATATAAACACGTGATATTTAATACTGATGCAGCTGAATTGCGAATGCAGTTTATTTTTTATTCATATCTTTTAATTAAAAAAATAATGTCTATATTAGTACAAAAAAATTGTTTAAGTTATCCCAATTCAGAATTTATAAAACGAATTTATAAAGCCAATTCGATGCATACGACAATTGTTGAACTCATAACAATTTATCCATATTATATTCTATGAATCGTTTAATTCGCGAACATAAAATATTTATTTTACTCAAATCATAACATCACAGGCTAACCAATTTGTATCGCAGTTAATGCACACTCGTACAACATCTTCATTCGCGATATGTTTGCCTTTAATTAACGCATTTAATAAAGCAACCGCGATATTTATCGCGATAAAATATTAACGAGACATCATGACTATTATATGACTCAAAATGAATAACTCATATCAAACGCAACAGAGATTAAATCGAAGATAAAATTGCTGAAGTAATCGATGATGCGTGAACTTGTTTAAATAATGGCTCGGAATGAAAGTCGCTTCACATACGTATCGTTCGGTATATAATCCCATAAAATAAATCATGAAATTATTGCCTACCGCATAGACCGCCAGACAAATTTGTGAGTTTTCAAATAACCTGAAATCCTGGCGTTTATGTCAATTTTGTATTGCATGATCGGATAATAACGCATTAATTTTATTTTTAAACAGAATAATGGGTTAAATGTATGATGCATTTTTAGAAATAACTGATAATTGTATATTCAGCATTTATAATTATAATTATTACTACCCAATTTTATATTCAATGTGTATAATATTCATATTATTATTAGATATAATTTCATATCTTGCTGTTTACAAGACTTGAATTTTCGCGGATAACGTATTGCTCTTTCGAGATATTATTTGAATTTTGGTCTTTGAGACAACACTCGACGTGTTACCCAGAAACGTACAGAAAGCTCTTAATCCCTGGGTGGCATTAAACATTCTTTGGGACCGCGTTATCCCCGGAGTTATCCCGAAAGGGTTAAGTGACGAATAACTGTACGGCTTACGTTAATTCCGCGGTGGCGGCGGCGGGCTGGCCTATATATCGCACGATTGCGCCAAACCGGAGGAAACCGCGTACAAGTTCGGATGTTTATGCTACGAGCAAAACCGAGAAGTGTAGCTCCAACGGAGTAACTCTCGCCTTGCCGCCGCTATGGCAATAAGCATGCGCTATATGGTTCCCTCATGCATATTCGGGAAAGGTAAACTTTACGGCGAATTTGCCCCTCGGCCAGTTCCGTGCACAACTAGCTAATTAACTATCGCGTCGGATAACTTTCGATAACCGCGACTGTCCGCGGTGGTATCTCACAGTTTACACGTAATCAACATCGCTATCTGTGACGACGCAATATTCATATAGGTTGCCATAAGTCTCTCATTACTTATATATAGGCGACCTAGAATTGTGAATAATTCCAAACGAATTGGAAGCACAAGATACTTTCCAATTTAAATGTAATTTTCTAAATCTCGTGGATGAAACTAAAAACAGTTTAAGCCAAATATGTAAAATTTGTGAATAAAAAGATGTAAAATGTGAATAAAATGAGATGTTAAATCGTTCCTGATCTTCCCATAAAATGCAATTATACATTATAGTTATTACAAAAACTTTAAAAATTTGATATAGAATTAAAACATAGAATGACGTGGAGGGAATAAATAAATAACTTGATTGTATTTTCATTCTGTATTCCAAATTATTTTTGGGTCAACGAATATAACGATGTTTTAAGAAGTGCATTATCAAGTTCGTATCACATACATATAACGAAGGTGATTCAAGATGGTTATAAAGATTAATGACGCTATTCTGCACTAGACAATATTTTCATAATCGTAAAAAGTAATATTCACATCTACGTTTCTTGTTTCTGATGCTATAAACTTTTACGAAGATAAATTACTATCGTAACGTCAGGAACTTTTCGTCAGGAAAGATTTTTAAACAGCATACACGATACGTTTCCATAAAAGTCGGAAGTACTTGTTTTATTGTGAGTCATTAAAAATATCACGTTGTTCGACTGAGAAAAATTAGAAAAGAATAAAAAAGAGATAGTCATAGCATTCTATAAAAAATTATATTGCATCTTTTAAGAAAGACAGATTTATTCAGCATTAAATTTTTTATATTTAAAAAAAATTTTTTCTCACTAAATTATTTTAGATAAATATCACAGTCTACAGCTTTTTTAAGCAACTACACATTTAATTGAATTTTTATAATTCTATGAGTATACGGGTGATTTCGAAGTATTTATGTCTTATTATGCTCTTCACAATTTTGTACTAACTTCAGCAGGTTTCGCTGGTGGTTCTTTCACAGATTGCGGATGCAATAGAGATATGCAGAGGCAGACTGAAAAAAATATGTTAGAAAAGAAATCAAATTATACTTTATCAAAAAGTTAGGATTAATTTTAGTTATCTAATTAAGTTACTTTATCTAAAATATGTTTGAACGTTTATAATAGTGATTTGTGAAATTTGTGTTGCAGCCTTATATAATTTGATATATTGATCGTTTGATAGCTTAATACATTAAATCTATCATTACAAATTTTATCTCGTGGATAAGAGATATGTTTTTGAGATAATAATTTCATCAACCTCTAAAATACTCTTAAAATGTAATATCTTATCATTGACACGATTAGGATTAAATTAGCACGCGTGGCATTAATCGTACCGGAGAAGAAACAACCCATTCCTATGAAAGCGGTGATGCACTCAGCCTCCAGAAGCGCGGAGAAAATCAGATTTCCCACAACAGCGGCAACATTTCCAATAGTCGTGAGGATACTGATGCTTGTATCTCTGCAACAAAAAAGATTAATTTCTGTCGACCGATTATATTTATCTTTTGCGACGATGTACCTCCGTTTCTCGCGTTAACGGACACGGACGATAATGAGTGGCGAATTGAGGATTGTGCTCGATAAGTTCCAAAATTGTTACTGTTCGCGCGCTCGCCATCTGTCACGTAGTTGCACATGGCGCAATTAATTCCTCTGCAGGAATTACACAGGGATGCGCGGGCGAGAGTGCGGAAGATACGGTCGCGCGCGTCAAAGAGACGCGCTTATATATTCGCGTGGCATTACCTTAATGGGACGGGAATAACGTCGACATTCACCGCGGTAACGATATTACCCGCTATTCTTGTCGTCACGATAACCGCCGCCGCCAACGTCAGCATATACGGCGGAGACTGCGCCCAATTTATTCCGAAACTGCTTGCCACCGATATCAGGAGGGCCGTGACTGCAACAATGGTGCTGTATCCGTTAATTTATGGATTATTCCCGCGAAACAATTGTTCCATAGAGAATTCTTAGCCACTTCTACGTGTAACAAGAATATATAAAAATAATTAAATAACTTTATATAATATATAAAAAATATGCAAAGAAAATCGACATTTTTTTTTAAAGAATAAAAAGAATATTTTTTTATGTGACTATAAATAGTTACATTTTTTAATGGTTATAGTAATTATTGCATTTATTCTTATAACATAAAATAATTCATATTAATTTCTTTAACAAAGTTAGGTGAGATAGTTTTAAGTTTTATACAATAAATGTAATGATATAATATCTTACTCATTATGATCTGTTTTCGAAGTTTAGTAGTCATTATGAATCCGGCGAGAAATGAAAATATAACGGCAGACGATGCGATAATGGTGGAATTTAGATAAATCACAGGATGGATGGTCCACTGAAAAGTATTAAGGCGCTAATTACTATTATATAAATTCTATTGAAGAAAATAATTAATGAAGCTCGTAGTTTGCGGTTAATCAACGATCGGTTTAATTATCTGTTAATTAAAAACAGCGCGGTTTTATTCTAAAATTAACATTTTAATATTCGTTTGACGATAATTTATAGATTATTAACAGAATGCCTTTTAGTGTTACGCGACTTTACCAACCTTGAAAAATACATCGTCAAAGTTCGAACGATTTAAATATTGCCTGCCCGGTAGAGCCACGTGACGGTCCAGCAACTCACAGAAAGTTGGCTGCTTTTCCTTCGGTGTCCAATTTTCCTCGTCAAAGTTGCTGATAATAATAAAAAGGTGCGGCACCCACAGTCTCATTATGTGAAATCTACACAATCGAACAATATTTGTCACTGCTTTCGAATATTATCGTGTCGAGAAGCGTCCATGGCGCTGCGACTTATCTAAACTTACCCGAGCATACTTCCAAATTGGAGGAAACTTACGAAGCAGAAAGCGGGCAGGTGACTCGCCAATAGTATCTTCGTGTTGTACAACGAGATGCGCATCCTTTCCAGGCTCTCCTTGAGCACGGGACGCACCAATTGCGTCTTTTGCCGAACGAACAGCGCTTTTATCTACAACGAGAAGGGAGCGACGATGAAAGGCGCCCTTTTCTCGGCTCACCGAGTGAATTATGCGTCCGATTTGTGCACCGCTATCTAAATGCAGTGGCAAGAGCGGCATAAAATACGCGAAAGGCACAGACATATAGTATAAAATAGGGAGAAATATATGTATAAGTGTGTATGATACATAAAGCATGAACCGTATAAATTTATCATTGTTTTCATTATCAAGATCTGAATAAATAGATCTGTGAAATGGTGATTTATTGTCCAAAGGTTTCGCGATAAAAAGAGGTGCAAAATTTAAATTCGCTTGGGGTGTGTGTTGTAACCACCCAGTACCAACCCTACCTTCATTCGCCTGGAAAATACGATTTGCGCCTTTCTCCACATCCGTTTCCGCTTTACTTCGCTTTCTCGCTCTTTTTCCCTTCTCTGCGGACGTGCCATAAATAAAACATGTCGTTTGTATCTAGCCGAGGCGCTATGAAGTCGCGGAGGATATCTCCCGGTCATTTGTTAAAGCCCGAAACAACGAGTTTTGCTCGATAAACTGGTAAAAAGTTAATAACGCCCGAATAATGCAATATTGTCGTTGCCCGAGTTAGAAGATGTATCTTGCTTTGTGTTTTGTCAAAAAACCGGCCAATAACAAGTGCAGCAATGTTTACTTGAAAAATATCGAGGATAAAAGTCGAAAAATCTACGAGATCAAACTTTTTAAATTAAATTTTAGCGTGTTTTGGCTTAAAAGATAGATGGCTCAATTTGTAAAGGATAAAAGAATAAAAGTATAGAGCAAACTAAGAAATATAGAAATAAAAGTTACATCGTTTCACACGTTATTTGACTTACCGGGAACGTATCCGCAGGTTGGCGGGTGTTCATACAATACATCCTCCTAAGCAATTTCAAGGCAGCATCTGACCTGCCAGTTGCCATGAGATACTTAGGGCTTTCCGGCAACATGGTCGCCGTCACGAGACCGACGACGGGTGGTATTGAACAGATCAGTAGGTATATACGCCAAGCATCGTAGTCTTGGCCAAGGATATCAATGTGCCAGTCTAACGGTAATATCGCGAAGGCAAGAGCTGTGAAGTCGTACGTTTAATTATTAGAATAAATCCATAACAACATGTTGTCTTTATCAATTTTTTTCTTCTAGGAAGTATTGAACGATCTTGACTTTTCGATCTTGTCTCCTTTGTGACAGGTGATAACGAGAAGTCTTAATCATACACAGAATTAATCCTTCAGTAAAAGTAATTAATTAATTTTTCATTAGCTTTATAATTTCGGCAGTTCGCGTATTCAACTGAAACTATTTAATGCCAATGTGATTCATCATACATGTTGTTAGGTAAAGTTTGCTGGTTATTACACACTGGACATCGTGATAGTGACACTTAATCTAGTTTCGAATAAATTAGTTTAGTTTTACAATCTCGATAGCAAAAGCTCGTTTTTAAATCCTTTTCACATGAATCATTCTGAAAATATTACAGTTACGTTTAGACAGAACAATAGTATACGAAAAAATAGACTCAATATTGATAATAATTGTAGTTGGGAAACTATTACAATTATGTAGATGCTCATCGCGCATAAATAAATTTTAAATATTTTACAATTATATTAAAAAATTTTTTTTTCAACTCAGATTTAGTTTTTAATATATCTTTACATACATCTTTATTTGCTTTTGCGAGCAATGCATTGTAATTGATAAGTACGATTAAAGGATATTGCGCGATCGCGTGTTTACCTGCTGGTATGATGTTCGCTATGGCGAAGAGAAATCCCGTCCATGTGGTGAAACGGGGTTTATATCTTGCCGAATGGAATTCCATCAGGTACGTCATCACCATTGCCAACGGGCCGCCTACGCTGTAAATCATAGATGCACGCGTGTTATATCTTATCGGGCGTAAGATTGTGAGGAGGAAGTTGCATAAACCTTGAGCGATTAAAAAAAGATACGCTTATTCTCGAGATTTTCAGAAGAATAGATTTGACTAACATAACAAGAAATATTATTCTGAAAATATTATTTTGTTAATCAGAATAGAAATTTCAGAAAGAATTCTATTCAAATATTTAACACGAATACACAATTGGAAAAAATGTGTTACATTTAACATAAATCGCATGTCTCAAATGATCCACTCAAATTTTTGAATTAATTTTACACAAGATGAATATGTTAGAAGGTAACACAATATTATGTAAGAGAATAAATACAAAGAAAGATAACATCGAGACAATTTGTAAGCAATCCGTAGGAACTTATTTTTTTCAGAAAATTAACATTCATGATATGTTAAATTAACACATATTTCATTCATTTGTCTTAGATTTACGTTTTGAAACACATTATTTTTATATTACTTGTTCACTTACTCATAAATTGTGTCATTTTGATACTAAGAAATATTGAATATCAATTTCACAAAAACTCTTTAAATAACGCAATCACATTATGTTAAATTAACACTCGAATATGTTAAAAAATTCTACACAAATTGTTAACACAAACGTGACTGGACCGTTTTCAACACAAATATAGAATTTTTTTTACTGTGTAAATTTAAAATATTTTTCTCAGAGACGATCATAAAATAGTTATGCGAAGGGATAATCCTTAAGGGATTTTTAAAAAAATTCTTGATAATTTTCTTAAAAGAATCATATACTTACAAGATCCCGCTGATAAATTTGATTAATAGATATATGTAGAACGACCGTACACCACTACTCACAATGTTCAAAATCGAATCACCTAATAATGCGAAGATGAACAATATTTTCATACTTATGTAGGGCGTTATATAATCCCATATAAAAGCAGTCGTTGTTATACCTACAAGAAATCAATATATCATAATATTTAATATAAATTAAAGAGATTATCTTATAAGATAATATTTTAATACAGGTATAAGATTATAAATAAATTGAACTAATTGCAATAAGGAATCTATAATATGACAATGATGTCCAATAATAATATGATAAATATTTACTTTTATACAGTTAGTCCCAAATGATTTTTGATCGATCTTGATGTTAATCTTAATTTTAAGGAGGTTAAGGTTATTGATCTTTCTCGTCGCTCATTGCTTATTAAAAAAATATTGACAAATAAAGCTGACAATATAAAGATGTATTTAACTCTATAATTCGAATTTTATCTAATACATATATCACATTCGCATATATATTTGTGTATTTAAATAAATGTGTGGGCGAGAGAGAGGCGGAACCAATAAATTATAGACGTCGTTTCACACTGTAGGCAAAAAGCGGTGCGTGGTGGACCTCGTTTAAAGTGGAAAGCTAAAAACATGTGAAGCCGTACAATTATCGACCTTGTTTCGCACTGAAGGCAGGGGGCGGACAGTATGAGATGGACTTCGCTTCGCGTTGCAAAGTACATTTTAATATTTTGAATTGCATCCGCAACGAGGTCTAAAATTGTAAAATTGTAATGGTTTCACATGGATTTTCAACTTTCCACGCGAAATGAGGTGCACTCCACATCACCCCGTGCTTAGAATGCGAAATAAGGTCTATAATTATATGGTTCACACCTTCCCATTTAAATATTCACTTAAATACGTGAATAATATGATATTTGTATTTGGTAAAATTCAAATTATAGAATTAAACATATCTTTATATTGTTAACTTTATTTGTTAATAACTTTTTAATAAACAACGAACGACAGGAGAGGTCAACGTTCTTCTTGAGGCTCAAAGTCAACATGGAAATCAGTCGTAAGTCATTTGGAGTTGACTGTGTCAAACATTTACCAATAGAGGAGAAGGTGGTATTATGGCATCCCAGTTACATTTTACGCAATAACTTTGTTAATAATCAACATTTAAGTTTAAAACTTGACAATTACATTCGTTAAAATGTTGTTGAATCGATTCTGAACTCAAAGTTACGATATATTTGTTACTTAGGATAGGTGAAAATTGCCGAATGCATACCACTTAACCTATTTTTTATTATATTTTCCATTTGGCACTATTTTGTGTGCAAATGAACGTTAGAAATTGTAGCTTGAGGTTTTGGACACTTATTAATACATGTTTAATTTTCCACTAATAACAAATTAATTTGTTATAAATCTTTTTGTAACATGCTGCAAAAGGTACAATTTAGGCGACCAGTACGCATTCGGTAACTCTCCCCTACTATTAATAAAAATGTGACGACATTGCATAATGACTTGACGAAAAAAATGGGTGGTAATGTGGCCTTTCATAAAAATAGTCTTAAAATATTAGTTTTGTGTGGAAAACAATATTTGACAAATTACAAAATTAACAAAAAAGTAAAATATTTTAAAATGTATGCAAATGAATGTATATACATTCACATAACTTCTGCATATAAGCTGCTCAGTACTAAAAATCTCAGTACTAAAAATAGTCCTACTGCACGTAATATAAACTATAGATTAACAGTAGAGCTACAATCGATTATCAAATAATTATTTTGATATGAAAACCTCAAAAAAGAGGTCATGAGTAATCAATATCCATAGAAGGCCACATTAGCAAAATGTCATGGTATTGTTTAAATTTGCATAACTCAAAATATATACAGTCAAATAAAATATTAAATAGCAAATAACACACTAAAAAATACATA